GGGGGGCGATGAAGAATCCGTTCAAACGTGCCGTGGAATCAGTAAGGTATTGCAAGTGTGTAATTAAGGTAATTAATGACGTGCATTTAATTTGAAGTCTGGTTGTCTCTACTGTATTTTCCTCATGGAAACTTGGTGTAGTAAATTCCAAGCTTTTTTCGTTTCATTGCCTGCCACTTTACTTGCGGAGTCATATAATTAATTGTTTATAGAATAAATTTTCACTGATACTTATTTAAAAAATTCACCTAAAATAATGTTTAAAATTAATTTTTTTTATACTCATTATTTTAATTTTTATACTCGTATTTTAATTTCATGTTTTATACTCATATCTTGTATTTTTAGCTTTTTACAACAATCACACGTGGTAGTCATAAAAAAAATGGTTGATTATTTTAATAATTATTCAAATTGTTTTTTTAATGTCTTATTCTAATCAGTCATTTTTTATAATGACGAAGTTTTTTAGTAGACATTTTAGTAGTTTCCACAAACAAACACCATAAGTTATATTAAGAGTAAATTCCATAAAAGGTTCCCAGTTATAAGTTGTTTTACATATTTAGTCCCTACATATCAAATATTACTAATTTAGTCCCCAATTATTATATTCATTTCCACGAATGGTCCTTTGTTAATATTTTCGTTAAAAACGTGGATGAAATTGTATATTCACACTTCTCTCTCTTCAAATAAGCTCCCTCCCTCCTCTCATACTTTTTCTCAAACTTGTCACTGAGTTTGAAGCTTTAAATCCAAACCTTAAATGATCATTCCTCGAGTTAAACAAACAATTAAGAGAAGAGTAATGATTTCCGTTTTGAGTTCAAAGCTTTAAACTCAGCGACGGGTTTGAGAAAGGAGTGCTAGTGGATGGAGGAAGCTTAATTGAGAAGAGAAAAGAATGTGAATTTACAATTTTATCTACGTTCTTAACGAAAATTTGACAAAGGATCATTCTTGGAAATTTATATAATAATTGGGGACTAAATTAATAATATTTGATAAATAGGGACTAAATATGTAAAAGAACTTATAATTGGGAACCTTTTATGGAAATACTCTTATATTAATATAAAGACCTATTAACTGACTGCATTATTAACGTCCATTTGTAATCATTTTGGTCTTTGAATGCTGTCTTTTTTCTGGCTATGAACGAAGTACTCACATTTTCGAAAGAAGACATATTAGTACATTCAGTGGCGGAGCCAGGGAAGAATTTATGGGGGGTAAAAATTCATTTAATAAATAAATAAAATTCAGAATAGAGGAGTAAGTGTTGTTTGATCCATTTTTGTTTGTATTTGCAAACAAATAACAATGCAAACAAAATGCTCTATCATTGGCGACACTATATTCCAAGCACTTAAACTTAACAAGCCAATAACTTTGAAATCATCTTTTGTTCTTGCCTGTCAAACTTTATGGAAATTTATCCATCGATGGCGTACAAGGAACTTTTGCTAAGTATCTTCTCCTTATTACATCTCTAATTTCCAATGGATAATTATTACTCCCTCTGTCCCGGAGTATTCGTCCAGTTTTGACTTTTGGAACTGTTCATCTAATCACTTTGAATCATCAAATTCTCTCAATGTGTAAGCCTAAATATAGTCATGTGTGATCTTGTTTGATTTGTCTTAGCATATAGATTATTAATATATAATTTTTTAATATACAAATTACAAGATAAAATGGATTAAAGAAGTGTATTGGATGATGTGTAAAAATGAAAGTGGACAAATACTGGGACGAAGGTAGTAATTGGCTTTCGTAGTCCCTCAACAATAATATCATCATTTGAAACCACACTTTCTTTCTTTATAGAAGAAGAAACTTCTCTTTCATTGTCTCTATGACTTACAAATTCTAAATTCTTTTTTGCCCAATAACAAATTTATCCATCTCACATCTTAAAATTTTCTGATTCAATAATAAAGTCAGAAAATTACTCACGAGTGACGCGAGTTTTGTTGAAATAACTTTCAGGTCCCTCTATTTTCAAGAAGACAGCAGAGGTCCTTACATTTTGTTGTAATGACTGGAAGGGGACATTTCATCCAATATTTCATTTATAAACGTTAATAAATGTATTTTTTTCCTATTCTTTTCTAAATGTTTTAAGTTAATAAATCTTAGGTCGCTCCTTTTTTTATTTCTTTGTTTTTCTTTCATTTTGTTACTATTTTTTAAAGTGTTATTTTAGAATGAGAAATTTACCTAAATAGGATTAAAACATAATGACTTTCTCAATATAGGACCATATGTTTTTATTTCTCAATGTAGGATCTTTGGTCATTATCAAGTAGTCATTATTCAACTAAATGTCAATCATATGTCAATCATTACTGGACATTATTCCTCTCATTAGGTCATTATTAAGTCCTATTTAGGGAATAAAAAAATTTAAGTCTTACATTAGGAAAGTCATTATGTTTTAGTCCTATTTAGTGCAAATTTCACTTTTAGAATTTCTTCTATAAAATCGTATAAAAATTCAAAATTGTTTGTATTATATTAAAACAAATGAAATAAAAAAAAAAATTAAAAAAGAAAAAACAAGGTAATGGCAAAATAGGAAAAACGGTATTAGAAAAATAGGAAAAAAATACATTTATTAACACTTACGGATGATGTATTGGATGAAATGTCTCTTCCCAGACATTACAACAAAATATAAGGACCTCGGTTGTCTTTTTGAAAATAGAGGGACCTGAAAGTTATTTCGACAAAACTCGCGTCATCCGCGAGTAATTTTCTGTAATAAAGTAACAAAATAAAATATCAATAACCCTTAAACAACAAATTCATACGGAGTATATCTTAATCTCTAGAAGTTGAAATTACATTAACATTTATCAAATATTTAAATATCCAAAAACACACTGGAACTGTGGAACAAAATAAATATTTAAAATTCAAAACATATTTTAGCAATATTCAAAACTTTCAAATATTGAGAAATAAAACTCGAAATAGAATAATTAAAATTTGATAATGAGAGAAGATCTAATTAAAGATATGAAGAAGCACGGAAAAAGAACGGATTCGTTTGCCGATTGCCGTTCTGCCTTCTGGAGTTCTGCCGATTGCGTCTGTTCGTCAATTCCTGGAGCCTGACGCGCCGTCTACGAATAACGGAATAAGCCTCCCTACTTTTTAGTTCGTAGACTTCCATCCTCCATTTTTTTTTTGGGACAATTGGGCTATTGGACCTTGGACTGTTGGGCTTGGTCACACGAAATTTTTAAACCCATTTTAATCTAACACAACGACGTCGTTTTGTTATCTTCTTTTTCATAGGTAATTGCTTCTTCCCATCCTCTTCTTTGATCGGCTGGAGTTCCATCGGCAGCTGCGACGGATCTGGGGGGAGGGGGGGCAAATCCGGGCCTCCCATCTCCGATTTGGGTACCTAATGCTATTTCGCCGGAATTCCGCCGGGGGGCACTTGCCCGGGCATGCCCCCCTCTCCACCGCCCCTGGTTTCCTCACCCTACTGGAGTTCTTGGTCTGGGTCATATTCAAATTGAATGTCAGTTCCGGGTAAGATTCAATATTTCAACTTCATTTTCACCCTCCATTGCAGACTTCAGCCTAATAAAATTTGCCTGCTCCAGTGACTTCGTCTTTAGTGATGAAGGTGGTGAAATACACGTAACCTTTTTGATTACTTGACTTGATAATCATGTCAAACGTAATTTTCTTTTTCTGCAGTTGGAATTTGGGTGTTAAAATGCCAAATATGGAACCAATATATATAACTACAACTCTGTCCAGAGACATCCAAATTTGTATAGAAGCTGACCTGTTTTTGGTTCTCTTTGTAAATCGCATAGTTCAGGGAGAAAATGCATCCAAATTTGTAACATAAGAACATGGGAACTATGTGTTAGACAATAAAACTAATATTACTTCTGGTAGTATTAGTTATGGTAGTGTTTCATTATTAGTCAGCTTCCTAATCCTATTTGTAGTAGATGTTGTATGTTAGTTAGTTTCCATTCTCTATTCCTAGTTGTGTTAGGAATATCTCCTATATATACTCTATCATGTATTCTATAATGAAAGGACCAATATTATTATTCCAATATTTCAACATTATGCCTGCAGGGACTTTTGTACACTAGTTCTGGCTTCAATGTCAGCTTAAGATAAAATAAAAAAAAAGGACCTTTTATCACCATATCTCCTAGTATCTTTTGTTAGAGTATGAAATCTTGGAGCAAACTATTCCTTATTGAATTGGATACCCAAAAGAAAAATTACAAACTTTCTGTTATATGTATGAATCTTCAGTTGTACCTGGTTCAATGTTGTGAATGGTTATTTTGTATGACTCTTTGCAGGGCATGGATGTTCATCAACTGCATATGGATTGGGTGAGGAAGTTGGGCCTTTCTATGTTGAGAAAGATGGGAAGATCATGTACTGGAATCCTTACTTTTGGAACTTAGGCATGTAACTCTAATGACTTGTGTTTCTGTCAAACATGGAGAAATTAGTTTGGCAATTTCCCTGCAAATAGAAAGTTAGGAACATACGTATTCTTGATGGAGTATGATAGAAAATAAAACAAAGCACCAATAACATGTTCAATATTGAAACTCAATAGGACTAAAACATAATGACTTTCCTAATGTAAGACTTAAACTTTTTTATTTCCTAAATAGGACTTAATAATGACCTAGTGGAAGGAATAATGTCTAGTAATGATGGATATTTAGTTGAATTATGACTACTTGATAATGACCAAAAGTCCTACATTGGGATATAAAAACGCATGGTCCTATATTGGGAAAGTCATTATGTTTTAGTCCAATGGCCCAACACTTCTTGACTTTTGTGCTGTGGTTTCAGTTTTACATTTAAAACGACCAGAACCTTCACCGCTAAAAGGGACACATGTCACCCAACGAGTTCTCTAAATGGCCCATATCTCCTCATTCATTTGATCTTCTGGTCAAATTAGAATAAGTTTTGATTTAATATATTTCTAGTTATAATTAAAGTTATTTCTGATTCGATTTGAGTAAATCTGATCTGACCTGATTTAATTACAATAAAAATAAGAAATAAATAAGTTAAAGAAAACATGATCTCAGTCACTCTATTCTACTAAAAAAGATACTCTCTCCGTTCCTCCGAAATGATCCTCTCCCATCTTCACGTTATGCATCACAAATTTTTTCTAATTTTACTTTAATTCTTGATGGGTATAACCCACTAGTACCACCCAACAGGTTTGCAGGCGCCCGGGAGATACCAAAGTCTGACCGAACTTGACATCACTGTCCCCGATAATTTGACTGGGTGGATGTTAGGGGTCAGACCGGTAAGCTCATAACTTAATCCATGGAAGGTTTGAAGACTGTCCGGCTTGAAGATTGGTCGGGTAAATGCCTTGAGATGAACAGTATTCATAAACATTGTATTTTCTATTATTATAAATAGGAGTAAAAGCCTCATAAAGAAGGCAAGCAATAAATAATTCACACGACTCGTAAGGTGTAATCGGTCCCCATATTATTATAAATAACAAAACCGAATTATATGTGTTCCCACCTAAAACTCTTCTGCTTTTAGTGACTTAACACTCGCGTTGGTTTTACACCATTAATTCTAATTCATTTTATTTTATTGTATTTGTAAAATTTAGAGTAATTTTTTTACCAAAATGATCTATTCTAATAAAATATTTTTCCAAATTAGTCTTCAATAAACAATAATTACTTACGTGATCCTTTATGATTTAGATTTATTCCTTAATGGTTAGTGTTATCGTATTTTCCAAAAGAACCTATTAAATACCAGTCAAATAGAAACTATTTTGATATTTTCTATCATCTAGACTTAAAATATGTTCTCGAAATACTCTTTTATAATTAACTATTTATTTCAAAATGGTAATTTTATTTCTAAGTAAATATTTTCTCGAAATGGAGTCCAATAACCTACTCGAGGTGGCTCCGTTCCTCTAGCAGTCATCCACTTAATTTGAAACAATTATATTGATGACTTATTGATAATTTAAATGATAGAAAATATCAAAGTACTCTCCATTCAACTGTCATTTAATAAGAATTTTTAATAGATGATCATTTAGAGAATACATCTCAATTATAAGGGACTATGTTGGTAATTAATGTTTACTGAGGACTAATTTGGGGAAACACTTTATTAGAAATGGTCATTTTGAGAATCAGCTCTAAAAATTATACGAAGTATATTTAAATTTAAATTAAATGTCTAACAAAATATGGTGATATGATTGTATTATAATACTCACTCCGTCCCTGAAAACTTGGGAGATAATGATTTTTAAGAGATTTAATGAAAATGTATTTTGGTGTTGAGTTTCCAAAAATATCATTGAAAGTGATGGGTAAAAATAGAATTTGATGCGTAGATTAATGGTGAATAAATGTGATGTGAGAAGTAAGTTAAGTATTAGTAGGGGTAAAAGTGACTTTTTAATTTTTTTAGAATGGATGAAAAAAGAAAAGAGAAAAATTTTCAAGGATGGAGAGAGCATGAAATAAGTATTGAAATAATCAAACAAAATAAATAAGTTTAACCATATGAGTTGTGCATATGAGAAGAACTATGTTCAAAGTTCTATTGATATACCTTCTGTGTCTAAAAATACTTTCTGTTTCATTTTTTACGCATTCTAAAATATACTTTTATACATATATGTAATATTAAAAATTCATCCTATTTCTCCCTTATATAATGTGTAGAAGTTGTTAGGATCAAATCTCTCTCACAAACACATCTAAATATATATCTGTAACACTTTATGAGATGCGCAGAAAATAAAAAAAAACTTATTTAGAGATGAATTGAGTACTTTTTGTATTATAAGTCTTACTTTGATATAAAATTTTGAAGGTCCTATTTCGATATCTAACATTTGTGTTAGTTTTAATCAGATATTATCTCTTTCAAGTGTTATGGCCAAAGTTTACAAATTTGGACTTTAAATGTTAAAACAAATATGAACAAATCTGGGTTACCAAGCTTTCAAAGAAGACAAATTAAATAAATATTATCTTTGTTTCTAAAATAAAATCACTCTGTACTATTCTAAAATCATTATGTTGATTTGTTTATTTTGATTGATTTTTCAATTAAATAAGATATTTTTGCGGTCTTTTATTTTGTAGAGGTGACAAAATTAAAGCAATATGCAATCATATAATGCTTAATAATTTAAGATGCCTTTTTGTTTGCATTGAGGATTAAAATGATGAGAGTTAATTAGATAAGGAAATGAAGAGAAGCTAATTAATTAAAGTGAAATTTGCACTAAATAGGACTGAAACATAATGATTTTCTTAATGTAGGACTTAAACTTTTTTATTCCCTAAATAGGACTTAATAATGACCTCGTGGGAGAAATAATGTTCAGTAATGATGAACATTTAGTTGAATAATGACTACATGATAATGACCAAAAGTCCTACATTGAGAAATAAAAATATATGGTCCTATATTGGAAAATTCATTGTGTTCTAGTCCTATTTAGGTAAATTACTCTTAATTAAATTCCTTTGTGATTATTCCTTTGTGATTTAATCCAAAATTCATCTCAATGTGGAAAGCTAGCACTATTTTTCCGTCCTGATGATAAATGGGCACCCATCACTTTTGGACTTTTGTGCTCTAGCCAGTCTCATGCAGGGCCTCGATCAACGAACCCCGGCCTTAAATGGAGGGACCCACAAGGCCCATGAAATGATCAAATAATACGGATCGGATTACCTGTCGTGGTCCGTGGCGCAGAGGCAGCCAGCAGGAAGTGAGTTTTTAGGGCATATCTCATCCAAAGTTGGAATTCTAGCTAAATAAACCCCCCCCAAGAAAAGATAATTACTGTTCTAGTTCCTACATTGAAAAATATAACTAACATATATAGAATGGTGAAATTTGTTAGGCCCCCACTGCAAATAAATGGAAAAAAAAAAGAGCACACAATTTTTAACGTGGTTCGGCACCTCAAGACCTACTCCACGACCCCCTCTGAGATAAAATCTCACTAGTAATTTTTGCACGGAAAAATTACAAACCTTCTCCAATATTTGACACTCACAACCTAAAATCTAATACACAATTATATAGATTGAAGGATTGTGTTGTGTGATGGAAGCCTATACCCCCTCTCTATTTATAGGCTCCAATCCCTCCTCAATTTTCCTATCCCACCGATGTGGGACTTTGAAGTACTCCCTCCGTCCTAAAATTAACTTCTCATTTGATTTTTCACGACCTCCAATGTGACACTTTGACCATCAATATTTTAATTTTTATATAAATATATTTTATAAAAATTACATATATTTCAAAATTATGTTTCAAAATGAATCTATTGCTAACAAATTTATATAAAAATTCAATGTATTTTTTCCGTAATATACGGTCAAAGTTTAAAAAGTTTAACTACAAAAGTCAAAATGAGAAATTAATTTTAGGACGGAGGGAGTAACACTCAACAAAATCGTACCCAAAAGTTTAACTTTTTGAGTTAGAATATTAGATCTCAACTTTATATATAAGTGGTTAATTTTACGCGACACTCTACTCGTTGGTATCGGAGCAGGTCCGCTCAGAATTTGATTCTCCATGGTTGTTTAATATGACTAATGAAAAAAGAAAGTCAATATAATTTGATCATACATATGAATAGTTACTCGTTAATAAACTAAATTTAAGATGGAGGGACTATTATTATTTACTTTCGTTATTAATCTATTGTTATCATAATTAGTTATTCTAGATTCTACAAGTATTTTCTATGTATATTTTACTGTAGTTCTCGTTATTCAGTAACACTAATTATTATCAAATTATGAATGTGTAAATAATTGTTTTATTGTCATTGGAAAAAACTAGATTGAAAGAAGTTAGAAAAAAATTAGAAGAAGTTGGAAAAAGTCAAAGGAGTTTGGAAAAGATAAAAAAACCCTAAAAGTATTACTCCCTCGTCCTGGAAAAATATTCTACCTTTAAGTTGTTGTAACTTGTAATGTAAACTTTTAAAAATAAAAAGATGTGATTGAAAGCTAGTGGTCCACGCAAAAAAATAATACTCTCTCCGTCCCGGAAAACATGGGAGTTTTAATTTTGGAGAAGGATTTAAGGATAGTGTATTTTGGTATTGAATTTCCAAAAATGTCCTTTGATGTGATGGGTAAAAGTATGATTTGATGGATAAATTATTAGTAAAAGGTATGATGTGATAGGTAGGGTATGAAAAAGTAAGGGGTAAAAGTGACTTTTTAATAGAAATGAGAAGTGTTTTTTGGGACGGATGAAAAAAGAAAGGAGAAAGGTTTTTAGGGACGGAGGAAGTATTAGCTACAAAACTTTTCAAAAAATTAAATTAAAAAAAATACTTTTTTAATAAGAAGGATACCATGGCACCATTGGAAGTTTTGCATTAACATTTTTAATACTCCCTCCATCCCTTAAAAAAACTTCTCATTTTGACTTTTAAAGGATTTAAGAGGGATATATATTGGTGTTGACTTTCCAAAAACATTCTTTGATGTGATGGATAAAGTAGGATAGAAGAAAAGTGTGATGTGATAGGTATGTTAAGAATTAATAGAAAAAAAAGTGACTTTTTAATAGGAAAAAAGAAGTGTTTTTTGGAACGGGTGAAAAAAAGAGAAAGTGTTTTGTGGGACGGAAAGATAGGTAATCCACATCATTAGAATTATTTTCAAAATGCTAAAGGTTAGAGGCTCACTAAACGCCGAAGGCTTGATGGACGCGGGAGGCTCATTGGACGTCGGAAGCCCGCTAGACATCTGGCTCACTAGATGTTGGAAGCTCATTAGACGTTGGTGGCTTGAGAGCATGTGCAGTGGCAAGGAAGAGGGATGCCTTGCACTGCCACATCAGCTTTTTCCACTCTTATCATGGCATGGCAAGGCCAAAATGCCTTGCTTGGTGAGGCATGAGTGTGGCACTCCATCCTTCTTTTTTCTTTTTTTTTCAAATAATTTTTTTAAAATTTTTATGAAAAAAAAATGTACAAGAAAGTAGAATAATTTTTTAATAAAATAAATAATAAAAATATTTTTTTTATGTTTAAAAAAGTAAAAAAATGTAAAAAAATGATAAAAAAATAATGACTTGCCATTGTAGAACTTGTCACTCCATGCAATTGCCACACGATGACTGGATTATTTTTGATTGGTTAAAATGTTCCATGTCACCGTGTGGCATTCCATTTTTGTCTTGCCATTGTTCATGCTCTGATAGACGTTAGAGGCTCATTGGGCGCCGGAGGCCCGCTGGACGCCCTAGCTCAATGGACCGCAGAGGCTCGATCACTAGACGCCATAGATGCTGAAGGCTAGCTAGATGGATGCCCTAATAATAACTCATTGTACAACGAAGGCTCAGCTCACTAGACGTCGGAGGGTCGCTTGATGATGCCCTGGCCATGTGAACATTCTCGGGGCTACACGTTTCAAGTTTTCAATGTGTTGATTTCTGAATTTGAATTTTTTAGTCTGTGTACATCAATTGATGAGAAATCCGGCCTTTCCACTCTTCCAAATTCAACCACCCTTCAATCGGCCTTGTTTTTTTCAATCTCTCACACCTCACAAAATATTCATGGCCTCTCTCCTTACTCATGGTGTCTTCCATCTCTTTCATGCATTCTACTCCTGCATCAAAGATCTATAGAATCAATTTTTAAAAAAACCCATAACACATTAAAACAAAAGTAAGGCAAAAAGGGGGAAAATAGAGAGAAAGAAGAAAGAATACCTTGATCTACAATTCATCCTCAAAGAAAGTCATAAAAATTCTCACAATTGAGAAAAGAAATAAGACACTGCCCGGATCCAAGAAAAAGACAAAGAATGTCAAGGATCTTAGGCACCTCCAATAGCTTTAATTTCTCTGTTCTTGTTAAAAGACGTCAGCAGCTATCAGCGCACGTTAGACTTCACTCTTCTCCAACGACGTCAGCAACCACCGGCACATGTCAGGCGTCTCTCTTCTCCAACAATGTCTGCAGCCACCGGCGCATGTCAGACTTCTCTCTTCTTCAATGAAGATATCACCCAATGCACCGGCGCACGTCAAACTTCTCCCTTCTAAAAGTTTCCAGTTTCCAGCTAGTGTCTAATCGTCCTCTTGCTTCAGCCAGAGTTCAGCTTGAGGGGACATGTTAGACAATATTAATAATATAATCACTTAAGGTAGTATTGATCATGGTAATATTTGATTATTACTTAGCTTCTTATTCCTATTTATGGTAGATGTAGTGTTTTACTAAGTTTTTATTCTCTATTTCTAATTGTGTTAGAGTTACCTCCTATATATATACTCTATCATGTACTTCATAATTCAATGAAAAATATTATTATTCCAATATTTCAACAAAAACAAAAACATAAAGAATAAAGTACTCCCTCCGTCCCAAAAAGATTGTTACGTCCCAAAAAGATTGTCTAATATACCCATCACATCCTACTTTTACCCATCACATCAAGGGTATTTTTGGAAAGTCAATACTAGAATATCCCTCCCTTAATTTCCCAAAAAGTCAAACCGTCCCGTTCTTTTTGGGACGGAGGGAGCACACAATAACCCACAACTTAAAATACTACTCTTATTAATTAAAGGAAAAAGACTAATATGTAAGTAAAATGTTGAAAATATACCAAAATAAGAGTTTCACGTTTTTAATTCTCAAAATATGAGTTAAAATGCATTTACGGGGTCAGTCATTAGCATATATACTACCAAAAATATTGTGAAATTAATGTCTAAGTACAGTGTCACATTATCACAATATAAATTGTTTTAGATGATAGAAAAAAAGAGCCCATATTTGATATTTTCTCTATGTTTCTTTTACTCTTATTCAAAATGATTTTAGTTTAATAAAACATCTCATGCAATTAAATAAGGTTTGGTTCGAGTTGAGATTTTAACCTAGAAGTCACCTTAAATGGGACTAAAACATAGAGAAAAAGAACTAAAATAAGACTTTCATGTTTTTTCCCTGAAATAAAACTTTGCACTATTGTAATGTGACACTGTACATGTGCACATTACTATACTTTTTTGGTAATGCAATGACCATGTTTGGTAATTTGGTCATATTTTGGGAATAAAAACATGAAAGTCATATTTTGGTATATATATATTCAATGTTTTGTTGCTACTTTGGTCTTTCCCCTAATCTCGTGGCCCTTTGCTCGGTGCTTTGATGAGTTTGTACGTATGTCTATATATATGGGGCGGCAGGCTTTAGATAGGCAGTGAGTGACATATAAACAAGAGTTATTAGTAAGATAATTGGGTGAAAATGAAAATGGGGTTTTGGGGAATGAATAAGCCTCTTCCATCTTCTTCTTCTTCTTCTTCTTCGTCTGCAATAATAATAATAACAACAACAACGTTGGTGTTGTGTTTCATTGTTAGGGTTTCTTCAAACGAAACCAGCAGTGCCGCCCTCACTCTTGGCTATGAACAAGTGGCAACTGTGCGCCCTGGTAGAATATCCAAGACTTGGTCTGCCCCTTGCTTTGCCCAGAACGCTGCTCGATTAGAAATATCTATAATTTCCGGGACAAGCATTGGCTCGGTTTACATCATGGTAAAAATAACACGAACAAACAAACAAACAAGAGAACTGAAAACCATATGTATTTGCATGGTTTATTATATATATATATATATATATATATATATATATATATATATATATTACTTCAAATTCATCATACATATGATATCATCATATATATGTCTCAAAAACAAAGATAGATTGATCCATTTTCTGCATGATCATCAACAGCCACACAATGGAAAATGTTGGAGTTGCCGAGATGATTACCAGATAAGGTTGGGGGATGAAATAATGTCAACCGGCAGTGTTTATTTTGGTGCTGTGGAAGCTCCTTTCTTGTTCGCCTACATGACTACGGATCAAAGGGAAAGAGTAAGCTCCTTTTTTTTTAATTTTGTGCTTAAGTTGAAATATTCTTTTTAAATGTGCAAGTTTTAGTTTTATTTCGACCCCAATCTCTCTCACTAATAGAAATGGAAAAAAAACTTGAATTTTTTACTTCGTTTTACATTTACTCCCTCCGTCCCTAAATAAACTCTCTCTTTCGTTTTTTCTTTGTCCCCAAATAAACTTCTCTTTTCCCTTAAAAAACCCCTTTTATCCCTTACTTTTTCATACCCTACCTAGATATCACATCATACCTTTTTACTAATAATCTACATATCACATCTTACTTTTACACATCACATCAAGAGTATTTTTGGAAAGTCAACACAAAAATATCCCTCCCTTAAATCCTCAAAAAGTCAAAAACGGAAGTTTATTTAGGGCCGGAGGGAGTATATGATTAGTCTTTTCCAGACGAAAGAAGTTTATTTTATCGTAATAAATCAAGTGAAATTTGCACTAAATAAGATTAAAACATAATGATTTTCCTAATGTAGGACTTAAATTTTTTATTTCCTAAATAAGACATAATAATGACCTAGTGGAAGAAATAATGTCCAGTAATGATGGACATTATTTGAATAATGACTACTTGATAATGATTAAAGGTTCTACATTTAGAAATAAAAACATATGATCCTATATTGAGAAAGTCATTATGTTTTAGTCCTAATTAGGTAAATTTCTCATCAATCAAAGTACTCCATCCATCCAAAACAGATTTTTTAAGAGAATATTCTCACGATGAAATTTTATTCATTTTCCTCGCTTATTTCTATCACTCTTTTTATAATGCATACTTCATACTCCCCCCCGTAAAAAGGTGTTCATGTTTTATTTTTTGCGCATCACATAAAACACTTCTATCCCGTTTAAATGTCTAAGAAACTTTCAAAACTTCTACCCATAATAAAGGAGAAATATTGTAAATTTTAGAAACTTTTTAGTAATGTCGCCTGTTATTTTTAAGCTCTTTTTCTGCAATTTTAAATACTTAAACTTTATTATTAAATTATACACTTACAATCAGATAAATCTAATTAAAAATAAAGTTAATTAGTTATGCCTCCTAAATTGAAATAGGAAATCCAATTATGGACAGAGGGAGTAAATTTTTCAAAAATATCTCATAATATAAATCTAAATAAAGTGTTTTCATACTAATATCAATATATATAGAAATATGTGTGTGTGTGTGTGATAGAGGTAATTTATTACTCTCTTTGTTCTCAAAAACACTTCCTCTTTCATTTTTTTCACTTCCAATAAAACACTTCCACTTTCTCTTAAAAAACCACTTTTACCCTTGTTTTTTCATACCATACCTATTACGAAGTACATCATACTTTTTCTCTAATAATCTAACCATCATATCTTACTTTTACCCATCACATCAAGGGCAAAATTGGAAGTCAACTACAATTTCATACTTCCTTATTTTTCCACTTTTTCAAAATAGGAACTTTTTTTTAGAACGAAGGGAATACGATAAAAAGAAGGAAAGTACAAAAAGGGGACTAGGCCAAACCCTTCTATCTCGAAAAAAACGAAAAACTGCCCAATAGAGCAAAACAAAACATAATTTAAATTCAAACTATAATTGGGCAGTCTTTCGTTTTTTTGGAATTAAGAATGTGTGTGTGTGTCTGATGTTTTTAAATGGATTATTATTTTGTGCATTATAGATCCAGAAAGAAGGAATGAAGATTTTCGTGGATAAGAATGCAGCTTGTAATGGTGTTTCGAGGAAGACAATGAAGAATCCATTTGGAGATATGGAATTTGTTGCAATGAATTGAAACACGATAATATGCTGGATTAAGCCTTGATTGTTTGATGCATTATTATAATATTACAATAAAAAAGCAATACCTTTATCCATTTCCCTTAAGAATGGATGGATAAGAATATAAGAAGGTATTGCAAGTGTGTGCTTAGTAGCTACTAGCTAGCAGTATGTTTTCTCAATTTCTTAAGTATTATGGGCAAATGAACAATATAATGCTCTTTTTAATTCTAAAATAAGATTCATGTTTCACGTTACATTGTTTAAATAAATCTATTATCGATCGATTCAATAGTATTATCATAATTCTTTATTTTCTTTTTGTTAGTATTTTTTATTCTTTATAAGTATTGATGTAACCTTTGTAGTTTTATAATATCAAATCGTACCATAGTATCATAGCTAAGTTTTGGAAAATCTAAACTCATCATCCACAGTCAATTAATTACCAAAGATAATGGATCATCATCATTTATCCCTCTATTTTTCTCTAAAAAATTATGAGTATGCCTAACAATCATCATCCATTATCTCTCTCTCTCTCAATAATACGGAGTAATAATAATAATAATAATATATGTGCATGATCAAAGAATTAAAAAATTAAATTTGTCTATGTTTTTTCTAGTGTTCAAGAGAATGAAAAGTGATAGAGAACTAAAGAATGACTCACAAAGACAAATGAAACTTATTGCTCTCGCTTCAATCGAAAACACTTTCTAGGAAAAAGAACTTAGGGGCGGTTTGTTTCAGCCTCTTAATGGTTCAGATGTCTGAATGGTTCATATCTTAATAGTTCAGACTGTTTGTTTCAGCCTCTTAATGGTTCAGATGTCTGAATGGTTCAGACATTTGCCTCTGAATGGTTAAGTATTATACAGAGTCTGAATCGTTAAGACCTCTTATTTGAATTGATCAGACATTTGCCTCTGAATAGTTAAACAATATACTAGCTCTTAATGGTTCAGACCTCTTACTGGTTCAGCACTTAATGGTTCAGATCTCTTACTGGTTCAGCACTTACCTATTCAGAAGTTTCCAAACAGCCCCTTAGCAATTATGCTCTCACTTCGTTCATCATGCATCAAAGATCTGTCTAATACGAATGTCTAATACGAATGTCCTATTGGATAGGGAAGAATGACTTTTCATAAACCATATTATATGGTAAAATATTTTTTAATTTTTTGTTTTAATTTGTACGGAGTAGAACTTTTGATTTATTTTTGAACGGTGTAATTTCTAGTTTTTTTTCTGTACCACTTTATAATTAAAATGATTTTAAAATAATAAATTTTAAACGTTGTTCGAACAATAACAAACATTTTGTTATAGGTACTATTTTCTAACACAATCCTCAATAAATAATAATTATATAATCCCTCTATTTCTAAAAGAATTACACAATCACTATTCTTGTCAACTGATGACTTTTGTGTGTTTACATGTTTAGAATGACTATTTGATAAGATAAAATAATTTTATCACATCTTATTTTGTAAAAAAAAAATTATGCTGTTTTTAAATATAAAAGTTCACCTTTTATTTCTATTCTAACTTGTAAAAAATAAAATAAGTTTATAGATATGGAAGTTTATGCATGTTTAGAAGCGTGTAATTATTTTAAAAGACGGAGGAAGTACGTGGCATTTTATATTTTTATAATGGGCTACATTCTGTGGACACAAAACATAAATTTTCATGATTTTTGAATTATAAACATTGATATTCTATTTAGGACAGATGGAATGGAGGTTAAGGCTAAATTCATCCCAAAGATTGGCTATAACTATACTTTTTCTAAATTTACTAAATTTGTATTCATTAATTTCACTTTGATGTGTGTATAGATTTAACAAATCAAACTACATTAAAAAAACCAATCAAACCAAAAAAGTAGATATAACTATATAAGTATATAACTGAAGAATAATTATATTCAATGATTAAGCAGGAGGAGCCAAGCCCCATATATATACAGCGAGAGTTGTAAATAAATATGGTAGAAATAGCAATAAAGAAACCCTATAGAAAAGATAACTACCATATACAAATATATAAATAAATACTCCCTCTGTCCCCCAATTTTTGTCCACTTTTGACTTTTGGAACTGTTCATATAAACACTTTGACTCATCAAATTCTCTCAATGTGTAAGCCTAAATATAGTCATGTGTGATCTTGTTTGATTTGTCTTAACATATAGATTATTAATATATAATTTCTATAATTTTTTAATATACAAATTACAAGATAAAATGGATTAAAGAAGTGCATTGGATGGTGTGCAAAAATGAAAATGGACAAAAACTAGGGGACGGAGGGAGTATATACTAAGGGGCTGTTTGGCAACTTCTAAATAGGTAGGTGCTGAACCAGTAAGAGGTCTGAACCATTAAGTGTTGAACCAGTAAGAGGTCTGAACCATTAAGAGCTAGTATATTGCTTAACTATTCAGAGGCAAATGTCTGATCAATTCGGATAAGAGGTCTTAACCATTCAGACTCTGTATAATACTTAACCATTCAGAGGCAAATCTCTTAACCATTCAGACATCTGAACCATTAAGAGGCTGAAACAAACAGTCTGAACCATTACGCGTTGAACCATTCAGACATCTGAACCATTAAGAGGCTGAAACAAACAGCCCCTAAATGTAAATGTATTAACAGAATGACATTTTTGAGATAAATTTAACGAAAGGGAAGGGAATAACTCTGGTGCGTACTATCAATGACAAATTAAATATATCAATGACAAATTAAAAACGAAATAAACAAGGTGATTACAAACTTCACAAATTTATCATTTGTAGTTTAAGTTTTTGTTTTGAAATTATTTTAGACTATTTAATTTTTTATTGAAGTACAAAAATAGTAAATTTGTAAGTTTTGTCACCAATTTGTTAGTGAATCTAGCATTTCTCAAATATATATAATGGCACTCATCACTTTTTGTTCTTAGAGTATCTCCATTCAAAAATAATCTTCTCACTTTGATTTTACACGCAAATTAAGAAAAAGTAAAAAATGATTTGACTTTTCATATTTGTCATTAAGCCATTGTAAAAAGTGAGTATAACATAAGTATGGATACTAATTAATGGGTAAAAGTAAGGATAATGATGTAGTTTAAAGAAAACACATTTCCCAAAAAAAAATAGAAGAAACGTAGAAACATGAATTATGGATGTAGGGAGTATGTAAGTTGGACTAATGTTTGGTCTCATAGAATTAGATGGAAAAAAATGGGATGACGGTCTCTCTAAGTTACGACCATCCTAACTCATTCCATCTCTCGTTTCATTTATTAATTCAAATAGACGAGTCTCTAAAATGAGATCTCCCGTTGAAGAAGAAGTCACACATTTTTCATAACCCCACATTGAAATTTAACATCATTTTTAATTAAATTGAGGGAGTAATATGGAAGCATAGTATCAGCATAGGTATCATTGTATCAATAACTCTACCAAAGAGGACAAATAAAATAGTACCTCTGTGTTTTCACTGTATTTGTCCAGTTTGACTTTTTCAAATCAAATTGAACAAACTTTGAACTTTTGTTACTCTCAATTTATGTTGCATATTAGCATAATGAAATACTCCCTCCGTCCTAAAACTTTCTTCCCAGAGCACTATTCCAATTTCACAGGAATTTCAATTTATTTGTGTGTTTTTCATGGCCTATATGTTAAAATAAAATATTCTTGTCACTACTTTTTTTGTTGAACTTTTGATGTAGTTTTTAAATATGTATGTTTTATTTTTTATTTCTATACCAATATTTAAATAAAATATATTGAAAAAATTTGGGATTTTTTTTCGTTTTGTGCAACGGGAAGAAAGATATAGGACGGATGGAGTACAATTTTGAAAGTTCCCCAATACAATAAAAGAAAATCCCTTAAATATGAGTAAAACATATGTCATATCCTCAAAATAGGAGTGTAAACATAAACTCCTCTAAATAGGAGTAATTAATTAAGTACTCCATCCGTTCTCAAAAACACTTCCTCTTTCATTTTTTTTCACTTCCAACAAAACACTTCCACTTTCTATTTAAAAACCACTTTTACCCTTACTTTTCTGTACCTTACCTATCACATCATATTTTTTTCTCTAATAATATACCCATCACATCTTACTTTTACCCATCACATCAAGGGCAAAATTGGAAGTCAACTACAATTTAATACTCCATCCGTCCCTAAATAAAGTTCCATTTTTGACTTTTTGAGGATTTAAGGGAGGGATATTTTGGTGTTGACTTTCCAAAAATACCCTTGATGTGATGTGTTAAAGTAAGATGTGATAGTTAGGTTATTAGTAAAAAGGTATGATGTGATAGGTAGGATATGAAAAAGTAAGGGGTAAAAGGGGTTTTTTAAGGGAAAAGAGAAGTTTATTTAGGGACAAAGAAAAACGAAAGAGGAACTTTATTTAGGGACGGAGGGAGTACTTCCTTATTTTTCCACTTTTTCAAAGTAGGAACTCTTTTTGAGAACGGATGGAGTAATAAAGAAAACCTCATTAATAGTATTAAATCTTTAATTAATCTCATCTTTCTCTACTCCATCTCCTCACGGCCGCCCCACCATGCCTCTCTCTCTTCTCTCTCTTCTTTTTGGCCACCGCACACCCTCATCATTTTGAAGTGTTGCCTCCGTCAAATCCACCCCAAGTGCAGTACATCACCGCCGCCCCATTCCTTGCAGTGCTGCCGCACTAGCTTCCCTCTTTGCAGATCTGTTACGAAGCATCCCATGTAGATCCGCTGCGGAGTGCCGCCTCTATCTCTTCCCTTTGCAGATATATCGCACCGCCTATATCCATCAAAGCTAAGATTGCCGCCAGTCACGATGACTATGATTTTTTTAATTAGCTTCCAAATGCTCTATAATTGAGACTGCATCGTAGACGTAAGAAATACTTCCAACTTATTGCATTCATCTTTTTTTTTCTACGAAAAAATTGCATCTTCATTAGGCATTGATTTTGGTTTGATTTTTTCTTTTCATTTTTGTATTTGATTATTTTTCTTTTAATTTTTTTATTTAATTGTTTTTTATTAGTTGTGTTTAAATGTTTCTC